CTGGCTGCCTGCCCTGGGGTCCCCAGACAGCCCCTGGCACTGACACCGTGCAGGGGACCCCGGGTTTGCAGCCCTGGCTGGGCTCAACTCCTCATGCTCCGTAAGGAATTTCAGTGGGAAAAATCTGAGCAAAATATGGGGCAGGCAGGGAAGGTAGATGAAACCTGCTCCCACCTGTTTAGGTGATGCTTGTGGGAGTCCAGCACCTGCCTGGGCTGTGATCCGAGGGGGAAAGGGGGAAAACTTGAATGGAGGAGGGAAAGCTCAAGGAAGGGGTTGGCAGCCCCTCCAGGCTGCAGGAATGTTGCACCAGCAATGCTGCAGGCACTCAGGCAGGTGTGTGCCAGCATGTGCCCAGGACAGGACCAGGAGCTCCAGTCTGCTCTGGGGGTCTGCTCAGACCCCCCAGTACCACGGCTGGGTTCAGAGCCCACCCTATGCCACGCTCTGTGCCCTGTTTGCTCACTGCTCTGTGCTTCTCCAGCCCAGCAGCATGCACCCCACACTTGTGGGGCCAGCTGGGCTGCTGTACCCCCGAAGTGCTCAGCACACTGCCAGGGCAGAGGGGAAGGGAAACGCCCACTCACCGTTTTTTTGGGTCGCCCTCGAGGTTTCCTCCCTGGTGTGACTGCAGCTTTCTGAGCAACAACAGCAAAAAAAGCACATTTTCATCAGGCTGTCCCCAGGATGCTGGTGGGGGTGGGCAGCCTTTCCGTTCCTCCCACCCGTGACTGCCAGATTCATCACCCCAGTGGCATCTCCTGGGGCACCACGGCCAGCCCCCCAGCCCCAGGATGCCCTGTGACTCAGGAGGTGGGCGCAGGATGTGAGTCGCGTGTTTTGCAAACAGGTCTATCGTGGGTGTCCCCGTGGGGACACATACGGCCCCCAGCTCCCCCCACCCTCCCTGGGGGCCACTGCCCAGACTCCCCCTCCCGGGGGCAGATCAGCCCTGAATGGTCCATAAATGAGCTCAAACTGGACCTGTGCTTGGCCAGAGCAGTCCCATCCCCAGCTACCTACCCTGCCCTTCGGGGTCGCCTTGTTTTTACTGCCCTTCGGCCGTCCGCGGGGTCTCTTGGGGGTCGGGGCCTCGCTGGGCTCCTGCTGGAGGGAGAGCAGGTCACTGTGGGTGGGGGTCCCTGGGCAGCTGCATGCTCAGAGTGGCTCCCAGTGCACCCCAGGATGCTCCGGCCTGGGAGTTCCATTCTGCCCAGCAGACCCTGTTGGGGCAGAGATGCTGGGAGCACTGGTCACACTGGGATTGGCAGTCAGGCACCAGGCACAGGCTGTGTCCTTCAGC